TTCTTATGAATTTTAATCACTCGTATCTTCTATCCATAGATTTAAACTTTGTCATTCACGAGGATTTTTATCGTTGGAATCGATGGTTCTACCACTCATCAAATGGACATTTAGCTAAAGAATAGTGGTAGATAGTCCTTCAGGGACACATTATCAAATTCTGCGTTTTAACGGCCTTTTATATGTTTACACATTCGGTCAAGTAAACATCTAGTCTTAAACATTATCTCTTGAACTTCAGGTTCATATCATGGAGGATCTGATGAGATAATGATCTTGTCCATTTTATTTATGAATCAGCTGTTTTAACTTCTCCCCCTGAGTTGGGATAACTAACTCGCCAAAATGACAATTAACCAACCGAGCAATTAATAATCTCACTTTTGAGAGTAACTAACTCGTCAAACTAATATGATCAGTTCATCGAGTAGTTAATCCAACACCAATAATTTCAAAAATTAGAGATTCAGTATTCAACATATATTTCTAACCTCTTCTAGAGGCTTCATCTTTGTGTGCATTGTGGTGGAGCAACTATCATATATAAACTGCACATTTACATATCTTGAAAGTGGATATGGATGTTTTCTAAACGAAATTCAATATTTGGGAGAATATTTAGAATGACCCGTTCGGTCTTATGCATATAATTGGTGCCTTTTTGTGTTTTAACATTTTCTCAATTATACATGAGATAATTACTTTAATTGAACACATGCAATAAACGATTCTACTAGACCGCTACATTATTGCTCTTATAGGCACGCGATGTTCAACTTTCTCATTCTAGTATCGAGCCATACACTCACCACAAGTGTTCTTGCTCTTCAGGAGCATACATATAATTTTATTGAGATATTTAGTAACTAATGCTCTACTGGAGCATTGGTTTTATCCAATTATATATGCTCTTCTGGAGCATTCAATGAATTTTGTAGTACCGGCTATAGTATTAATTTATTCCTGGACAATCCCAGGATCAGATGCACCTTCTGGGTGACTATCAAAGGAATCTGCAACATCTAGAAACACAAAATCAGTAGTGCCATTGCCAACAAGACCATGATCAATAAAGTTAGTCTCTATCTTCTTCTCTCCTTTCTTTACTGTTGATTGATAGAGATCAACAAAATATTTTTCCGTACGACAGGTACGAGCCCAATGATTTCTCATGCCACAGCGATAGCATTTGCTGTCACCAATTATGATGAGCTCGTGGAAGGATAACGGTTTTCTGATGATCAAATCGTTCTTTCAAATTGAGCCACAACGTAGATGGATCTTTAATAGTCAAATATTCAGTTTTTAAACCTTCATCAAGATGGTGACGAATAAAGATCATGGCCTTAGCCTTGTCTTGATTTATGGCATTACTACCAACTCTTATGGTATTCTCAAGACGACTTGAAGTGAGATGAATCTCAGCATCTAGCACCCATGACAGATAGTTTTTTCCCGAGATATCAAGGGGAACAAACTCAAGTTTCGTAATATTATGAGTCATGGTGCTGAATATTGAAAACTGTAAATAAATCAAGAATAAACTCGGATTGCATGTGTTTTGAAGATAAAAAAAATATATGTTAATTCAGATTGCATATGTCTTGAAGATAAACAACTAAATATGGCAAAGATTTAATAACAGATAAAGACAACCAATAAAAACAACAAAAGACCATAATGCTAAATTCGTGTATAGGAGGCAAATAGTGGACAAAATAAGCCGCACAAAACAAATAAAAACCAATATTGACTCACGTATGCATATGGACAAAACCAATTTGTCTTGATTTCCCACTATGTTTTGATATGCATAATATACAACATTAATTCATGTAAACGGAGGAATAATTAAAAAAATTAATTCAAGTAAAGACAAACACTAATAAAGGAGTAATGATTTGATAACATTAATTCATGCAAACTGATCATGCTAAAAAAAGTCAATGAAGTAAAGGTCTAATACGTAAACTGGTAATTCGCACAAGGCCTAATACTGACCAAACCAAACAGAGCAGACCGAGAGTATAATAACCACACGAATTTGAACGAATCCAAAAAAATTGATTGTACCTCGGAGTCGTCGGGTGGAAGCAAAGCTCCGGAAAATTTTCAGTCACAAAAACTAATTATTTAATGAAGATTTCAGGCTTTTAGTATTAATACACACCAACTTCAGGCAGTGGTATCATAAAACTCTTTGGCTAGAACTTCGTGCTGATAAAGTAATATAAAATAAATGATAAACTACTAATATGAACTAAGTATAAGAACGAAAGAGAAGAGACAAGAGAGTAGAGAGAGATAAGAGACTTGTATTCAGATGTGTTTTGAAGCATGAATGAGCTCCATATTTATACAAGAAGCAGGGGATCAAACTATGTGAAATGAATCACCTATCATTAATTCTAAATATTACAGAATCATATCTCTTTAATTGTGAATAGAATAATACATATTAATGTGGACATTCAATCAAATCAGATTTTTCCATAACATCAAGATTTAAAACTAAAATATTTCTTTTGAAAACAAAGATAAATAAACAAGGAAAGAATTCAATATCACAAAGATTCTGACTCAAGAGACAGATCGTCCAATTATTTCACAGATCATCGGTATCTAAAATTATTCTTGCAGTTTAAGCATTCAAGTTTAAGTATAACAGGATAGCCGTAGTAAACCTAAAATTTTCCTAAACTAACTAACCAAACCTAGCATCCGATTAGCACTTATTATTAAACGTTGGGCACTATAGCGTTCCATACAAATAAATGACAGCAATAAACCCTATGAAAATATACTTAAATCATAGTATAAAATTACTGAGATAGCTGCAATAATTTAACTTATGGTTTGTTGATCCGACTACTAGGCACACAAAAGCATCCAAGTCTCACAAATACAAATGATCCACCTAGTTGCTACTAAATTGCAATAGTTCGTATCAATTGCGTAACATATAACCAAAGAGATAGTATTAAAAAGAAAAATAACAACCAAGTTGTCAATTTAGTTGAAACTTACTTTTATAAATTTAAATAAGGATAAACAAACAACTCAAACCATAGACAAGATTAAATTAAAACTAAAAAAAAACCTCATAGTTGAAATAATTGGATTAAATCCTCTGAATCATAAATAAAGAATTTAGCCACTCATATTCATGGACTTAATAACTAAACTATTCATTATAATAATAATACCAAGTCTAGAAAAATTGAAAACTCGGAAAAAACCAGCTGACCTCCAAAGCCAAAAGCTAACGCACGCACTACGTGTGTTCGAATGAAAAAGCCATGGCCAAAAGTGAACTCTCGGCTGCCTTTTATGGGAAGTAGGTCAGCCGAAATTAAAAAACAAAAGTTGGCCAGAATTTACAAAATTGATCTTTCTATTTTCAGCTTCTTCAAAATTGACCTATAAGTTCTTCAATGATAAAATTCAGTTCACTAAGTTTCTTCTTATCAGTTTTTACCTCTAGCAACTTCCATATTTTGCAATTAAATCTATCATTGGAGTAAACTTCTTCCTTCGCTCAAGTTGGATGATTTTTGCAGTCTTTTTTTGTATCAATAAGCTCCGAAAAGTTGTAAACTCCGATTTCGAGCTCCTAAAAAGAAACATTGTCAAAACAAATGAATTAAAACCATTCGAGTCCATAAACTAATAAATAACAATCAAAATATAATTTATGGACTCTATCACCATCCAATCTTGATATCCTTTATCTAACCGTTAAGAATAGACATCAAAGAATATAATTCTAATTGTGAACAAACTCAAAAGTAGATAAAAGAAAATCACATCACATCTTATATTTCCATGAATGTGATAAGATTAAAATGATAGGGATTTGATACTCCTAAAATTAGGAGAGAGTCCAGTAGAATTGGCTAGAACCTGAAATGAAAGAGTAAATTCGAAAATTCATAATTAGAAAATTTGAAAAATTCTACACATTGTCTTTGTCGTCGATATTCTTTGTTCGACTAATTAGTTGACATACTCCTATTTGCTTCCTCGTTGACTTTATTTTTTCTCAACACAAATCATAGTTTGGGCTTCAACCTTCCATCATTCCTTGATATTAAATTCCAATATGATTCCATTCAACCACTATATAATTAAAATTAATGTAATGATTGTTATAGTTAGGAATAATCCTTAATGGCTCATCCAAGATCACATCCCTCTAAGTTTAGGAGGATTGGGTATAAAAGATTTAATTGTGACCATCAGTGCTCTATTGACCGAAAAGGAGTGTGTTAGTTAGGCTCTCAGAGGTTTGAACTTAAATATGAGGCCCCAATGTTTTCTTCTTTTTTTTTTTTCTTCTACCTAGCCACTAGAGCCACTATGAGCGGTTGATCATAGAGAAGAAAGAGAGAAAGACTAACTCCAAGAACACTTACTACAAGGATTCAGGTTTAGAAATAATTGTGGCAGAAGAGTATTTGACCCTCCTTTTATTTATAAAAATTCAAACTGAACAATAATTTTGGAATGGAAGGAGGACTTTTTTTTGGCTGGAGCTAAGTTAAAAAAATATATATAAATTTGCATTACAAATCTGAAATGTAAAGAAGTATTTTAGAAGTATGAAAATAATAAGTTCGAAATAAATAAGGGAGTTTTTTTTTTTTATTTGTACAGATTACGCAAACATCGTTGTCCATTCGAAAATAAACATCAATTTTTTATTTTTATTTTATTTCTTTTCTAATGCACCTCCAAACGAACTGCAATTGAAATTAAGTATATGTACACCTAAATAGATAGTAAAACTTCAATTCTTATTTGCCTTCCCCCTTTTTGGTCATAGCTAGTGGACTTTGTATGCTGGAAACGAAGACTGATGTATTAGAAATATTTTTGAGGATGAGTATCGAGCTAATACGATTCCTTAAGGACATGCACTAGATAAAATTTGCATTGGGTCTTCTGAAATGTGTATGTTGCGTAAAAGTAATGAAAGTAAATTTACAAAATGATTGGGGGGAAAAAAAAGAAAAAGAAAATTACATTATCTTTTTTGGAAGTGTAACTTTGAAATGAAAAATACAAAGAGCCAAGCAAATACAATCGGGTATAAAACTAGCATTATCGCTATAATTGGTAAATCGTGATGATGAAATGTGAAATATTCTGTCAAAAACCCTGTCACTGTGATGTTCTTACCAAACACCAAAGTGTTTTGGACAATATCTCCATATTGAGAGACTAGCATTCCTTTTAAAGTCCAAGATGTAGGATTCAAATAGTATAACCATTTCCACCATGTTGGGATTTGCTGCAACAATAGTGAAAGCAAGCAAAATAAAATTGAGTAACACTAACCTTAAAAAATAAAATAAAAAGGGGAAAGAAAAAAATGGTTCAAAGTTTTTGAATAAAGATGTGCTTACTGGTTCAGGAATCAAAAATCCAGAAAAAAGATAGAACACATTGAAAAACGCTGTCAGTATAATTGCAGCCACGGGGTAGTTTGGGGTCACTGAGACCATCAACATTCCAAAGTAAGTGAGATACAACAATGTACAAAACATTGAGTAAGTGTACCAGAAAACCTTGTATCCAGTCCAGTAAAATCCAACCATTGGATACGTAATCGCTGTAAATGAAATTACTTGGATGAATATGTAAGGAATCTCAATCAACACCTACAAAATGTTTGTAAAAAACACCCAAAAAAAGGTTATTGTTTACTTGACATCAAGTGAATCATGAATGAAATGTTCATTTCAGTACTTTAGTATATCTACCTGCGCAAGTGCATAAGAACAAGGAGCATACATTCTTGCGAATTTTTCGCGATAGACGACAGATCGTTCTATGACGACGTATTGCAGTATCGAGGAGGAGTTGTAAAACCCGAAGAACAATGCAGCAGAAAACATTAGACTGAGTACATTGAATAAGCTTTGTTGGTTTTCTCTGCATGATAATTGATAAACATTTGTGAATCCCAATGACTTTCAGAGAACAAAGAATTATACTTGTGTAATAAAAAGACTTGGCAACTCATCATGCTTTCATGATTTGGGTAACTATACTTTCAGAGCCTTGATACAAGGGAAAAGACTTACAAATTTGTCCCTTGATTCCAATATAATGCCCCAAAGCATAAAGACGATATGATTAGGAACGCGAAGCGCATCAAGTTATAAGAAGGGCTTCTCCAGTAAGACCAATATTGCTTCCAGAGACAAGCTTTGAATTGTCCCCAACCATTTTGTGCAAACTGAGTGTGGAACTCTAAAGGTTTAGCTCCAATAGGTGGTGAACTTAATCTCTTTGCAAGTTCTTTGTTAGTCCTACAAAAATGAAATAACACCAAAATAGATTGTGTAGCACATTAGTATGCTTGCACTATCATTTTTAAATAATCCAGAGGTAAATTTTGTTGTTGAACTTACTCATATAAAGATGAACTTCTATAGATAGCAGCAAAATCTACACCAAGACAAGTTTCTGAAGATAGGGAAGTGATCTCTAGCATCCATGTTGCTGGGTTGCAATTGTTCTGTATCTTTGGCACACCAGAGATGCCCTGTTTGTATAATAAATTTGATTACATTATGGATGAATTTAGGATCAAATGGTCATAAACATGTGTTGTCAATGCTGAAAATTGACCTCAAAATACTTAATGACTTCGATAGAGTGTCGCCCCAATGGTCCACAGTATATTATATGCCCTCCTGACTTCAGCAAGAGCAACTGCGCAAGTGTATTCGTAGAGGAAAAGTTAATCTATTAGAATTATGGATATAATATGCATTCATTTCTTGTAGTTTCGGAATTACCTCGTCAAATGCTTCAAATATATCAAGGCTTGGCTGATGGATGGTGCAAACCATTGTCCTGCCCGTCGCGGCAACATTCTTCACAGTTCGCATGACTATAGCCGCTGCTCTTGCATCTAGTCCAGTAGTTGGTTCATCCAAGAAGATAATGGATGGATTCGCAACTAGTTCCACCGCGATTGTGAGCCGTTTGCGTTGCTCATTAGACAAACCGCTAACTCCTGGAATGCCAACCAAAGCGTCTTTGATTTCATCCAGTTCAATGATTTCAAGTACTTCTTTCACAAATTCCTAAAAGTATGATGCAAAAGTAATTTCAAAAATCTGCAAACAATATATACGTAGTCATGGAAATACTATAACATATTTATAGAATCATACATATCTAGTTTTTGAGTCAATATCTGGATGGAGACGTAGCCAAGCTGAGAAAATGACTGATTCTTCTATGGTTATTCGTGGAGAGTGAACATCAATTTGCTCACAATAACCTGAGATCCGAGAAAATGTCTTTTGAACTTTTGGAAATCCACCAATATGAATTTCCCCTTCAATTGCGCCACTGGTTTTTCTACCTGCAACAACATCAAAAAGAGTGGTTTTTCCGGCTCCACTGACACCCATTAGTGCTGTAAGGACTCCAGGCCTAAATGTCCCTGTGATATCATGAAGAAGTTGGAGCTTTTTCCGGGTGAAACCAAGTTCTTTCATAGCCTAAAAACATACAAGCAAACCAAAAACTTGACGTGAACTAGCGACCTTGATACCATTTGAATAAGTAAAATATGATAAAAGATGTGCTTACTGAGGGTGTGTCAACATAGTATTGTAGATTCTGAAACACTACTGTTAAGGGCTCGAACGGCAAAACCATGTTTCCTTTAAAATAACAAAAGTTATTCATATTAAAATTGGCAATCAACAATATCTTAGAAATGCAAATTTATGAAACTTGCATTAAACTTTATTCACTGTATGATATTGAAGAAGGCATAATCTGCACTACTCACCACCTTGTTGTGATCTCGCAACAAGTTTCTCTAGTGAAAACCTTGAATGCTTCTCATCCTGATCTAATGCATCAGTCTTGATACTTTTTCCTAGTCTAGAAAATTTCTCTTGAGAAATGATGGCGCGAGAACGAGCAGCTACATGATATACACCCCGACAACTTGATAGTTAGAACACTACCTCTTTAAAACTTGTCAATCTTTATTCAAGTAGAAATATGAACTCACGATGTAGAAAAGTTAAGGCCAATGTGAATCCAATGTTAAAAAGTAAATTAAAACCAAGCAAAGCGCCGATAGATATCCATACAAATCTTTCCTTAAAATTTAACCCTCGAGCATCAAGTGCTTGTTGTCCAATACTGATATTTGATGGAAGCATCTACGCGGTGAATGAAATGAAAGATAGTTAGGCGGTAAGACATTAACAGAACCTCAAAAAGAAAAAAGAAGAAAAGAAAGTCGATACATTGTTTTGTTTAGGACGCACAAGGACAAGGTTACCTTTCTCCATCTTGAGGCAGTGAATTCATTTACATTGAGAGCGATCTCACCATATGTGAATGGAGAAGCCCAAATTCCCCATTTTAACCAGTTGGGCATAGACGCTGAAGAGAAATTTTGCAAGTTAGTTAAAACTATGCTAACATTTGCGCCGCGACAAAATGAGAATAACCAAGTTGAGAAACCTAACAATTTGGAATTGTAAAGCCGCTGAATAGGAAGGCGTATAACAACGCCAAGTCGCCAACCATTGTAGCGGCAACCACAGTTCGATAGGCAGAGGCAATGAAACGGTACATGGATGTCGCGGTCATGTGCACTGCAAACTGTATAGCTAAATGGACCAAAAACCTGGAATTGCAAAGGTAAGTCTTCCATGTGACCTCACATTGGACACAAGCACAATCAATGAAGATGAGGAATAAGAATGTGTCATCCAGTTTACCTTTCAATCTCAGGAGTATATCCAATAACATAATAAGTCAAGCACGTAAAAACTAGAGATTCCAAAAATGAGAGCGGGATCTTTAGAATGGCTGATGAAATTGCATACGCCCAAGCCGGATAAAAGGATAAATCTCTATGCTTGTAAAAGACTGCCAGCCTTGCAACAGTGAGTTCAAGCTCTGGGAGTCCATTAGTAACAAGCATAGTTAGTGCATAGAATAGAGCTCCCATGTAATAATTTGAATGCATAAGATCAACTTTCGTCCGTGATCCCATAAACAAAGTCATTGTGATGATTGCATTGATGGTCATCTGCAAAAAGAAAAAATTATAATTATAATAAATTAAAAAAAAAAATCTAGCAAACAATGAGATTCTAATTGATTTGAATGCAACAACTTAGGCTCAAAAAAATGCTTACCTGAACCAACTTAAAAACATAGATGAAAGAATTTCTTTTCATGAGAAGGAATTCCTTGGATAAGCACGTTTTAAAAAGGTCCCATTTGGGAAGTGAGTAGGCAGTAAACGTAATAGCATCTTTGTGGCTCTTGGATTTCAAAATCTCTGTTGAAAGTTGTCCGCTAAGTCTCTTTCCATAAGAAGATTGTTTAAATCTTTCTGATAACATGTCAATGGAGAAATAATGGCGTGTAGCTTCATCAGAATGCCAATATTGAGCTTGATCCTTTCTTGAGATTACCTATTGGGAAACTCAGCAACTTAAGCATATAAAGTAAATTATAAAAACATACTCCCTCTGTTTCAAAATTATGGTCCAATTTAGATTTTCACTTCTAGTTTAATTTATATTAAAACTGAAAAATTCAAACTGGATGATAATTTCGGAACTGAAGAAGTACAAATAAAAAATAAAGAATCCAGGAGGAAATTACCTCTTGCAAAAAGTCTGCAACTCCTTTTCTTTCAGGGCAACTAAATCCAACACTCTCAATAAATTCCAAGACTTGGGTTCGAGGTCCATGATAGACAACCTTTCCTTCTCCCATCAAGATGATATCATCAAAAAGATCAAATGTTTCGGGAGCCGGTTGAAGAAGGGATACAAGTATAGTAGCATCAGTGAGATGTGCTAGTTGCTGAAGGAAAGCAACAATTTGATATGTTGTTGAACTATCAAGTCCATTTGAGATTTCATCCATGAATAAAGCTCTTGTTGGACCAACAATCATTTCGCCTAAGACAATGAAACTTTGATATAATCCATGTAACTGTAGAACTCATATTATAAAATTTAAAACAAAGAAATCACCTGTTGTCAACCTCTTTTTCTCACCACCAGAGATCCCTCTCCTCATTTCATCTCCAACTAGCGTGTCGGCGCAAGTATCAAGTCCAAGTATCTGGAAAATCACCAAAAAAAGATAAAATAAAATCAATAATCATATCCTGCTTAAGGTTGATTATGTCTTTTAAATACTTTATAAAGATTGTAAAATGGCTTAGTACGTACTCTTAGTATGTAGTCTGCTTGAAGTGTTGTTTTTTTTCCTTCAATTGAACTTCCCTGTAAAAGATTATCATATAGGGGATGGAGAAAAAAAAATCAAGTTTTTTGACAAAATAGGAGACCAGCAATGGAGATGCTAACATTACCTTCATATATGCATCTACATCTGGATCGGGTGTGATTCCGGCATCTTTTTCCCGTCGAATTAGTTCTGTTAGAATCTCTATATAGAAGGATGATAATAAATTAGGATTAATCTCGTAATTACTAAAGTTCTAAACAATACTATATTTTTCATACGATTAAAGAAGACTTTTATTTTGTAACAAAAGGTGTATATTGTGAACAGATGTTACAGAAGAAGCATAGGTATACAAACCTGCTTTGTTTCCAACACCTTGACATTGTAGAGAAAAGTCAAGTGTTTCCCTCACGGTCATTTCTCCAGTATGCAGGTCATATTGGCTTATATATGCAGATGTTTTTTGAGGTACGAATTCATTCATTTTGTATCCATTATAAGTAATATCACCATACATCTATATCAATAAAAGAAACGTTATGTTCAAACACTCGTTATAAAAATGCAAACTATGCAATTAAATTAATTAAACTACATAACATCAATTCCTTGCAATGTTCAAAAAAAAAAAAAAAAAAGCTTAGAATTACATAATTAAAAGAATTTAACAATCTTCGTTATCCTTGATTTGAGAAATTTAACTAGCTAGATTCAGAAATTTGTTGCAACATTCTACTCTTGAACAATTATGGAATGATTATTCACAGTATACATTGCACTCTTAATATGTAGTTATTCATTTTTTTCTGTTGGGAATTCTTCTTTTAGAACATAGAAAGTAATTCAAAGGAAAATATACCGCAATTTTATATATATTTTTACCTTCTAGTTTTCACTTTCAGAATGGTAACAAATTATGATTCTATTTTGTTATTCTTTAGATGGACTATAGAGAAGTACGAAGAACCTTGAGTGATTTGCTGAGATTTCCTGAAAGAGCCTTCAATAGGGTGGTCTTCCCACATCCTGGAGGACCTAGTAGTAGTGTCATTCTGCATTTAGATTCACCCAAATCATTATGCCAATTTTGATTAAAAAAAAAAAATTACAATTTCAAATCGTGCACCAGCTTGTAGTTCTGACACCAAATTTGATTTTGGATTTGTAGTCCTTACCAGATTTTTCTTTTAGATAGGGATTTCTTAAAGAAACTTCGGTAAAAGCCCCATGTATAAGACGCTCCAGGTGTTGTTTTTTTAGACTATAATCAAAAGGAAAAAACTAAGGAATAACTTGATATCGAATTCCATACTAAATATAGCTATGAGTAGCTTGTTATGGAATCCAATCGTGTGCGAGTAGTACAACCATAACAAACATACTCATGTCATTAAGATAAGATATTCGTTAAGAATCTCTAATTCATTTTTTTATAAGTCATTCAATTTTTTTAATATTTCATTTATAGTGTGTTTCCAAATTTACTCAATTTAAGTTGAAAAAATTTTAATAATTTGATAAATATCATGTATTTTCGCCTAGGATTCAGCTTTAGATAACTAACTTAATATACGTAGTTCTTGAAAAATATTTATTTGTGACTTGTATTAAGGACTGGAGTGAGTATTATAGATGGCGTTGATGTTATCTTATCTTATTATTTCAAATAATTTCTGGTCTTGGTTTCTTTTTCCAAAATCAAAACTTAACATAAAATAGGATTTAAACGAATTTTAAGTATTTTTTTTAAAACTTTAAAATTAATACCAGATGACTGAAATGATTAGTGCAGACCTTCCAGGTTTGATGATTCCACTAACACCATCAATGATGTTGATCTTAGATATTCCAGACTTGAAACCTGGTAATAGCCTTGTGAAGTCCTATAAAAGAAAAATTATATATGTCTTTTTTTTGTTTAAAAAATCATCTCAAACATCAGACCATTATTTCCATATTTTCAACCAACTACTTTAACGCTTTTCAGTTACATATACAACTTTTTTTGACATTTTCTTAAAACTAAATTTATATAAATCCGAAAAAAAAAAAAACGAAATCACCATTCATTTTTTTATTAAAAAAAAAATTCTATGTAAAACTATAGAACTAAGCGTTTAACAAAATAGACTGTTTTTTCTGAAATTGATACTAGAAGTTTCCTTTTCCCCTTAATATCCTTTTGGTGACATTTAAGTTGAAAATTGAAGACAAGTGCGAACTTAAAATTGATTGATGGAACTAGGTAGAGGGATGGAAGAGCATATTTACCAAAACCGCACTTTTGAAAGAATTCCAAAGAGTTGGAAGAGCTTTCCCGCTCACAACTTCACACTCTGCTTCTATCAAGAGATTGTTATATCTTACTTCAATTGATGGTAATTCAATGCCAACCCTGCGCAAGTTATTTGAAAGAAATATGTACTTAGTAAATAACGTCATACTGCAAAACATTAGTTCCTCCGGAGGGACATCTTATCATGATATGTGATGAAAATTGATAAACAAAGAACAAAGAATACTCATTCTGTCTCAAAATTATTATCCAGTTTGGGTTTTCAGTTTTAGTACAAAAATGAACTAAAAATAAAAATCCAAACTGGATTATAATTTTGGGACTGAAGGAGTACTTTTTTCCCCTTTATACTAGCTAGTGTTAAAATTCGTATGATTATATGGAACTTGATAGATATAATATTCAAAACGAAAATATTATTATGTAACAAGAAGATTACCTAAGTAGCAAGAGAAGAAAACTACCATACATCCGTTTGAAAAACCCTAACTATGTAATGTTTTGGATTTGAATGTGATTTAAACCGTTTCTTATACATAAGTTGGAGAAATGGCATGAAAAGAAAAATAGCCAAGCTTGAAAAGAACAAAGAGGAGGGAAAAAAAACGCCTAACTAATTAAATACCTGTCCAATCTTTTCCTAATCTTTTGCAACAACTGGAGATTGTCATGCTCAATGTTTTGAATGAGCTTCTCGATGAAAATATGCCTTTCCAAAGCACCAAATTTGGTTACATCTACAAGCTCACGTGATTCATTTCCAGCAAGTTGATGATCATCAAACGTAGATGATGATGGGCTCATGGTTGTTTTTTTATCAACTAAATTAGCCGTATTTTGCATAATGCTCTTCAATGCTACAAATTAAAAAACTGCGTTTGTTGAAGCAATTATTGAGATATATATAGTGCACCAACGAGTTCACTGGGATATGAAGTGGCTACGTGAACATGACATAAACAATGAAACCACATGCTAGTTAGCTCGTCAAAAATAAAATAATCAATCAGGGATTGGAAATTTCCATACGAATTAAATGCACGAACGTACTCGTTTTGAGTAATGATACGGATATTCGTTTGATGTTACTAGGAAACACAATACAATACCATGTGAATGTAACATTCTAATATATGTTAGGCTTGCTCGCTGTCCAAAATGAAAAATTATCGAAACACGATTTGATTGCAGGAAAAAAAGAACACTGCTATATAATTGTTTTGACAAATTTAAAATGGGTTAAACTAAGTTTTAACATATGCTAGGCTTGCTTGCTGTCCAAAATCGGAAACACGATTTGATTGCAGTAGAAAAAACACTGTTACATAATTGTTTTGAGAATTTAAAATGAGTTAAACTAAGTCGTGGCTCACGAAAATAATATCTCTTGTGTTTGAATTGCACTGTAGAAGGCCCATATAATTCTACGCCACATGTATTTCTACCTTAAAATTAATTGGCAATCAGAGGATAATACATGACATTTATATGTTGATTAGTTTTGGTTATCATTTTTAATATAAAAGAAGTGTCTTCCATAGATATAATGGTTAAGTTTTATGCTTTATACGAGTTCTATTAATAAATTTTAGGTGCCACATGTCGTCGTTATCAAATCATGAAAGCAATTTTCTTAGACTGGGATTCTTGACCAAATCGATGTAAGCTCAACAAATAAAATCGGATTCTGCAACCCCAGCAAAAAATAAAAATAAAACATATAAATGTAAATAAATAGAAAAGGGCTGCGAGTATTTTCAAAATTTTTAGTTATTCTTTCCGTCTTAAAATTATTACCCAGATTAGAATTAAAAGTAATTTTAGGATAGAAAAAATATTTGTTTATCAAAGATGAAATGTCCTCGTATATAACTTCAAATAAACCATTTTCAGGAAAAAAAAAAACTCAAATAAAACAAACACCATTACGTTTATATACTGTATACATCATGGGTGCTGCTAGTTTTGCGCGCGTTTTAGGTAATTGTTAATTTATAAAATTGTAGAGACATATTTACATGCAGATTCTTCAAAAAAATATAATATTTTTAATTAATATTACATATCCTTAGAAATATTAAAAAGAAAACTATTATATTATTAATCAGTTGAATTTCTTCGTGTTTTGTACTAGGCACGATTTGGACAGAAATATTATTTAATGAAAGTTATTATGAATTGAGATGATCATCTTCTGTATTTAAGTTGCATGATCACATCGGAATTATTAAATAATATAGTGAATAATGTTTGATGGAGAATTTCAATTAATTTGTAGTTGAATAACGAATTTCAACCAGAGAAACGATAACAAATTTTGCTCTCAGGTTTTTTTTTCTCCCCCCATTCTCAAGAAAAATAAAACAACAAAACTTTAAAAGTTTAATCCTGAAAGTTAAAAAGGCTATTGGAGAAATTAAGCTGGTGATATCGATGCTGCTTGTGCATTTCTTTAGACGAAATTTGTTATCAGCAGTAACTTAACAAAATAATTGCTCTTGACAGACATTAGAATCCATGAACCCTCTATTAAGCTCCACTAAATTCTTTTACCATAGTCATATTTAACCCTCTATTAAGCTCCACTAAATTCCAACCTCCTAGGAGTTGAAGTTTATGTATTGTCCATTAACTGAATTTCTGGTATGACTTGACAAACATTTAAATGGAACTAACATTTCCATTAAAAAAAATCATCTAATAGAGCCTCTTAAAAAGAGAATATATGATTTTTAGGTATATTCACACACCGATAACAATTCATTAAATCAAGAGATTGTCGAGATGATAGTATAGAGTAACTAACATTTCCCATCAAGATTAGTTAAAACGTTTCAAGCTAGCACTCATATTAAGACTTCTATCTAAAAAACAGAAGAAAGAATAAATAGCTTCATAAATCAAATGTGGCCGGTCGTCTTAACACTCTTCTAAAGTCTAAACATATGTACTAGAATTTAATTTATTGGTTCCACGAGACAAACGAGCTATGGTGAATCGAGGCAATAATTCTCAGATTTTGTGATTGCTTTGCCAACACGTGATAATGAAGTTTCACTTCTCAAATATTTTTTTTAATTATTATTTTCACTTCTCAACTCATTAGAATGAGAAGCTCGAATCAAGCATATCAAATTTACTCAGAACAATGACTTCGGACACCGGATATGTAATATATTAAAAAAAATTACATGATTTTTGTTAGTTGCAAACAAACCACAGAAGACCGAAGTGATATTATTCACCGTTGATAATATCTCTTTGTCGAATTATAAGCACTTTAAATAAATATGATAATTAATTAAAAAATTTTAAATTGGTAATAAAACACGCAATCGACCTATAAGGTAAAAAAATAAATAAATGAGTCCCTTCCGCGACCTGAAAATCGAACTTTGATCCATCTATATCTATATTATATTCAGATTTGGATTATTGATTTAATTCTTTTTTAACAGGTTAATTCTTTCTATTACTGATGTGAAGAATTACATAACCCCCCCAAAAAGAAAAAAACTATTACAAATACTCAGTACTGAATCAACTTTCAGCACGTCATCTCCTATTGAGTCTTAAAAAAATTAGCACGAGTTCGATGGCGCATAAAACTGTATGTTGTAGCACCCATTTGATGAAGAAACCACATAGATGTAAAAGTGATAGCTAAACCGAAAAAGAGTGAATATAGAACACAGAATAAGCACAAAAGTCAACTCACGTTTTAGATAGATATTCCACCTCATTGAATATGAACATAAGAAAAATCCCCAATGGTACATAAAGGATGTTGTTTAGCATAACCATAGAAAATTCATTGAAATGTCCTGATTTAGTAACTTGCTTAACTGTGTCCATAACCCTCCTCAGAGTTAACTGCATCATTAACAATATCAGGAAAAAAAAAACAAAACAAAAAAAAACAAAACAAAAACGGTTCATTAGCCAGGGAAAAGTTGTAGGCAATTAGGACACCTTTTAAATATTTAGTTACATTTATTATACACTCCCAGGTTGGACACATATTTTCTTCCTGCTAATGATACATTTATTACAGACTCCCAGTTTAAATACATATACTGTTGTGACGGAAAAGGTATAAACATAACAAATCAGCAGAAACGATTCCCAAGAAAAACTCCTTTCCTACTATCAATAAAATAGGACAACCAACCAAACAAGCAAATAATTCAAGAACTGATAAAATAAAGGAGACACACGAATTTACGTGGAAACCCAAATCGAAAAAAATTACGGGACTGTAACAACAGTCAAATCTCCACTATCACAATAACGGGAAACAATCTTCACCAATCGGTGGATACATAGGACTTCATCCAAAGATGGATTACAACAATACTCTTCCACACACTATCACAAAGTAGGACTGGAAGGATCTAACTAAAAGAGAGTTAAACCGAAAACTAAACCCTAGCTTTCTTTCTTTTTCTCTCGCACAAAACCCTTGCACGGCTTCTCTAATTTTTCTCTCTCGGCTGAAAAACATGTCTAAATTGTGTATAAAGCCTTGCTTTTATAGGCATCAAAAACAAAACCCAAAACCCAATAGAATTGGGTTTTCTTTTCTCGGTCAAACACCCTAAAACCAAAGCCAATTAGTTTTTGGTTTTAAAACCTTGCTGGGCCACCAATTGGGGGGAACCAGCCCAACAATCTCCCCGTTCACCTCAATTAGGGGGTAAACCAAACCAGCTTCTTGTCTGCAAAACAGGAGCTTGTCTCTACTCACAGTCTTCGTCAACATATCGCCACCGTTGTCATCTGTAAGGATCTTCTCAAGAAACAACCCCTTGGACTCCAACACATCCCGAATCTAATAATATCTCACATCAATATGTTTTGACCGCGAATGAAATGTGGAATTCTTCGCCAAGTGAATAACACTCTGGCTATCATAGTAAACCACATACCTCTCTTGCTTCATGCCAAGCTCTTGTAGAAACTTCTGCAACCAAAGTGCTTCCTTACAAGATTCAGTAGATGCGATAAACTCTGCCTCTGTAGTAGACAAAGCAACACACTTTTGCAACCTACTCTGCTATGAAACTGCTTCCCTTCCATAAGTCATCAAGTAACCAGAAGTAGACTGGTCACCCGCCATGTCAGCATCTGTATATCCATCGGACATGGTCTTCTCATTGCCAAAGGAAAGACTCAATCTGGAAGTACTCCTAAGATACCTGAAAATCCATTTCACAGCATTCCAATGCTCCTTACCAGGATTGGAGAGAAACCGACTAACAACACCAACTGCATGAGCTATGTCTGGCCTTGTGCAAACCATCGCATACATCAGGCTGCCAACTGCCGAAGCATAAGGAACCTTTTCCATCTCTTCCTTATCTTTCTCACTTTTAGGACACTGCGTTTTGCTTAGCTTAAAATGCCCCGCAAGTAGAGTCGAGACTTCCTTAGCACTACTCATGTTAAACCTATCAAGAACCATCTCGATATACTTCTCTTGAGATACCCAAAGCTTCCCATTCTGTCTGTCACGAGAAATCTTCATCCCAAGGATCTGTCTAGCCAGACCCAAATCCTTCATCGCAAAGGACTTATTCAACTCCTTTTTCAACCTGGCAATCTTTGCAGTATCATGACCAACAATCAACATGTCATCGACATAAAGTAAAAGAATTATAAAATCATCATCAGAGAATTTCTTCACAAACACACAATGATCGGCTGTAGTCCTTTGGTATCCCTGCCCTATCATGAAAGCATCAAACTTCTTGTACCACTGCCTCGGAGCTTACCTCAACCCGTACAAGCTTTTGTTGAGACGA